TTATTATATACACACACACACACACACACACACACACACACACACACACACACACACACGTCGTTTTCATGTATATGGTAGTCAGAAGTTTACTAACATCCTCCTTTCCAACCCTGCCCAACTCCTTTCAACCATCTAAAATAATGTTAATTTCATGACCCTGACCATGTCACATCCCTATTGTTCTGTTCACTGGCTTTCTGTATACATAGAGTTCCAACCCTTCACCTTCACTTTTAAAGGCCTTCTCAAGACTGCATCTGCTTACAATTCTTTCCTTGTTTCTTCCTAGTCCGTCTTGCGCTCTGCTGACTCTTCTAGGCTTCTTGTTCCCTTTGTCTTTCTTCGGCTGCCCACGCTTTCCCCAGAGGCCGCTCTGCTTGTAACAGCCTCCCTCTTCTCAGCATGCATCCCCACTCTCCTTGTAATATATCCTCAAAACTCACCCTCTTGTACAGCCAGTGACCTCCACTAGCGAAATATGGCTTTACCTTTCTAGTCTTACCAAAAAAACTTGCAAACTTCACATGCACACCTTTATTGTTAGAATCTTTATCCTGCTCCTTTTTTATTTCCTGTGTTTTTCTCATTTATATTATAAATTCTTTGTGGTTTGTACCATAAATCGCAAAGAATTTCTGTAAAGCACCATGCAAAATCATCCTGAGGTATACATAGAGAAAAGTTTTAAAACATCAAGAAAATACATGACTTGAATGATGCACTAATTTTTTAGTCACTGTGCAAATCCTTAATGTAATTACACTTTTCAAATTATTCTTCATAGGGAATAATTTATTATAATTTTTATTTAATGTTCATTTAGATCAGGAATATTGTCTACAAAACATGTGGGACCAAAGTGCATAATATAGCTGTAATTTGAAAAAACAGATTATATAATCGGGGTGGTCAAACTGTAGCTCATGAGCCACATGCGGCTCTTTTACTGTTAAAGTATGGCCCCTACACCCCCTCCCCATTCTCCATTTACTAGAAGGTGGGGAGCTCGGGACCTCGGGCTTGCAGCGGGGTGGTGGGGTAGGGGCTTCTGCCCAGTGGGGAGGGGTGTCTCAGGACTTCTGCCCTGCAGGAAGGGGGGCACGCTCTGGCTCTTGAACTTCTGAAGATTGTCATATGTGGCTCGGAGGACCAGTAAGTTTGGTCACCCCTGTTATATACTTCAACCAAAGTTGGTCTGGATGAAAGTTTTATTTTCATTGATTGATAAGCAGTTGGAAAATCATCACATAATGCATATATGGGACCACCAAATGGTGTCTGGGAATATCCTGTACACTTGAAATGTTTAATTGGAAAAGCTTTATATAAATATGTACTGACAACCTTTTAAAGTAGCCAAATGCAAGTCTGAGCTATCATCTTCATTACTATTATACATTCAAGGATATTCTACAAATGAAATGGTAATTTAACTGCATTTGTTAATTATGAGATTACAAAATAAAAGTGATTTTTAGTGTAGAAATGTAGTTGCTTAATCACTAGTAATAGATACTTTGAAACTTTTTATAAGAGGCGAAACCCATTTCTTGAGAGACTTTACAGTGCTTTGCTTCTACTGAGACATTTTCTTTAGATCAAAACCTAATTAGACTTTGTATAAAGAAAAAAGCTAGATGAATATAATTCATTCCTATATGTGAAAATAGTCTTCATATCCACAAAAAGTAAATACACTTTTTCTCATGCACATTAAAGGTGATCACTGACTTTTTTCAATTAAAATAAAATACACTCAAAGATAAGGATTAGACTACTACAGATTCAACAATAGAAGATGCATTGAAATAGGTTGATAAAATAGAGACAAACTTTGTATGTATAATAGCAAATTAGGATTTAAAATATATATTTTAAATATCATGACCTGTAACATATGGCATAAATATTTACATGCTGTGGGTTTGTACTAGAAGCCACAGCAGTTAGACCTCCTGCCATAAGAATCTTTTCTCTTCCAGATTGCACCATATCTCGTGGAGTTTGTGCTGGGGAAAGATGCATCGTTCCAAAATACTATTTTAATGATATTTTTGCAGTTAAAAATACAGAATAAAAGATCACCTATCATATTCTCTAAGTACCTTTGCCAGCCATGAAAAATGAAACATGCCAATAGAAATCCAGTTGTCTATTCTCAGCTAAAAGTAATAATCCAAGCAAAAAACAAAAACAAACCACACTCCACAGTGCAGCACTGACCCTCACCCCTCTTTATACCCAATGCTCCTCAAATTTTACATAAACACTGCAGCCTCCCCCCCCCCCCGCTTTTTTTTTTTTAAAGCATACAACTGGTATAAGCAACATTCACTAATGATTAGAGAAAAAAAGTTTTAAAGTATTGTGTGAATCTCATAGCACTTTGTATAGTCATTTTCAGTTTCCACTATACTTTCCTGCATTCTACACAGATGCTGGATGGATATTTTTTCTGTGTCAAGTTTTTGGTATGTATTTCCTTTTAATGGCTAACATTTTCTATGTGGTACACAATTCTTGTTAAACAATTGTATTCCATGTTTATATTTATTAGTTACTATATCAAAAACCTTGTATCTGTGACAGATATGCATCATTGCCGTAGAGTAGACTGCATAATGCAAAAAGGATATGCTATTAAATGATTCCATGATACATTTTCTGAAGCAGCAATATTTGTTTGCAGGATAAAAAGATATAAGTGACCATGAATACTGACATGTATATAAAAGCAAGGTTTTAAAAACAAGCTACATCAATGTTTTGTTCATACACATTGCTAGTATCTTCACATTTATAAAATTAACATCTAATGTGAAATGGCTTGAGGGTGTCTGATCCCCTTAAATGATCACTTCATTCAACTCTTCTCTGCCCCCTAACACACAAAATAAACAGAGCAACAGGCAGAAGCTTATAGCAATGCATTACACCAGTAACAAGAGAGCAACATGTCTTTAGAGAGTATGAGTATGATACATGACTGGAAGAAAGCTGGCAGCATTAAGGGTTCTACAGAGAAAGCTATGTCCATACATGTTAATACAGCCTTAAAACTAAAAGTTTAACATTTCACTCAGGAGCTGTAATCAAAACAAAGAAATATCATATGGACTAATAAAGTCACTCTGCTCCAGTGTATTAATTTGTTGCTGGTAGGGATGCCAGCTTGATTCCTTACCATCTAAACTGACAACAGCAATGTATTGGAAGTCTATTTAAGTGAGATTAGCAGGGGAAGTAGAGAGAACAGTGATTCAAAATGTTTTCAAAAACAGAAAACATAGTTAAGATCCAAAATAACTAAAACCAAGTCTTATTTACAATGCTTTTGAGGTCTCAAAAATTCAGACTACTTTAGGCAATTTATCATTTTCAGTATTAGTCAGCATACCTTGTTTGGCTTCCAACTCCTCTTGGGTAAGCTGAGGTTTTTTCTCTTCGGCAGCAGTACAGGGAGCGGCGAGTGTTGGATTAATATTTGAAGAGCTGCTAGTATTCTCTTGGCCTTCCTTGCCCTCTTCCTCCTCCTCATCACTGTCATCATCTAGCTTAACACGGTTTTTCTCCAAGGGAAGGAGGTCATTTTCTTTGGCCTTGATTGCAAAGCTTATTGGAGCAAATGATGCTGTTGGATAAAAGAGTAACACTTTTACGTATCACTAGCACTACTGGGGAAAGCAGGTTAAATTCTTCTGCTTAATTAATTACCACCTCTGCAGATTAAACTCTGAAAGATGAAACATGACTGCCCCATTTTTATAATCCTCTTGCCCAAAACACAGTGTGCTGTTAGCAGTACACACTACTCTGGGGAAAGGGAAAATGGCTGATCATTTCCCCCCCTGCCAATGTTTTCTAGCTGCTTCTATAAATTGCTCAGCCTTCTCATTAGAGATGCATTTACATGCTGTTTTCAGTATTCATCACAAAAAAAGTTAAATAAAACTAAAGTTAATTTTTATATCTGGTCAAAAAAATAATAATCATTGTTTATATAATCTCTTCCTTGAAAAAACTAGTATTCAGCTTTTGAGTGCTTAAGACCAGCACATGCTGATGTTTTCTACACTCTTAAATAATTCTATTGTTTAAGGTTAGGCATGATTTATACATTGTGTGCTACAGTTGAAATAAAGAGAACTTTAAAAATACATTCATGAAGCTTGGAAATGCTTGTGACATCTAGATCTGTAGTATTAGGCCAGGGGTAGGCAACCTATGGCACACGTGCCGCCTTCGTCACGTGAGCTGATTTTCAGTGGCACTCACACTGCCTGGGTCCTGGCCACCGGTCCAGGGGGGGGGCTCTGCATTTTAATTTAATTTTAAATGAAGCTTCTTAAACATTTTAAAAACCTTATTTACTTTACATACAATAGTTTAGTTATATATTATAGACTTATAGAAAGAGACCTTCTAAAACGTTAAAATGTATTACTGGCATGCGAAACCTTAAATTAGAGTGAATAAATGAAGACTCGGCACACCACTTCTGAAAGATTGCCGACCCCTGTATTATAGGCTGTGCTTTCTTACTTTACATCTTACAACCCTTGCTGCATGGGGGTAAAAATACATTCCTCCTCTGCATTTCATACAACTTGACACCTTAAAACTGAAGCAAACAAGTAGTTACTAAATTTCAATCTCAGTATAAAAATGGCCTGTAGAAGGCAATAACTACACTACACTATTGTTAAATCATTATGAGGACAGATTAAAAAGACAGACTTTTCAGCTTGGAAAAGCGACACCTAAGAGGTCCGTACAATTATGAATGATGTAGAGAAAATGAGTACTGATAAGTGTTATTTACTCCTTCACACAAGAACCAGAGGTTACCCAGTGAAATAAATAGGAAGCATGTTTAAAACAAACATAAGGAGGTAATCCTTCACACAGTGCACAGTCAAGTTATGGAACTCATTGCCAGGGGAAGATGTGAAGGCCAAAACTGTAATGGGGTTCAAAAAAGAATTAGATAAGTTCTTGGAGAATAGGTCCATCAGTGGCTATTGGCAAAGATGGTCAGGGATGCAACCCCAAACTTTGGGTGTCCCTAGCTTCTAATTGCCAGAAGCTGGGAGTTGACGACAGAGGATCACTCAATGATTACCTGTTCTGTTCATTCCCTCTGAAGCACCTGGCTGGCATTGACGACTGTCAGAAGACAGGATACTGGGCTAGATGAACCACTGGTCTGACCCAGCGTGACCTTTCTTATGTTCATTTAGCTCAAACTTCAATGAAAAGACATCAGTTTAGTATTTATCTGCTACTTGTTGAGCTGCCTTTTCTGACCTGCTGCCAGGTTTGACAGAAGGAAAACACTCAGGGCTAGTCTACACTGGCAACACTAAGTGCCTTGTGTAGTCGCTGCGCAGCGCTTGGAGAGAGCTCTCTCAGAACTCTTAAAAAACCCACCTCAATGAGGGGCGTCACTCCCAGCGCTGGAAACATGGCTCCCAGTGCTTGGGTACTGTTTACACTGGCACTTTACAGCGCTGCAACTTGCTGCGCTCAGGGGGGTGTTTTTTCACACCCCCGAGCGAGAAAGTTGCAGCGCTGTTATTTGCAGTGTAGACAAGCCCTCAGTCATCCATTGGATCAATTGTATAAAAAGTTACAAGTCACAGGTTGAAAAAATATTATAAAAACACATGGACAAGAGGCCAATGGAGCACACAAACTTTCATTAACCCTTTGGTATCAGCAGTTGGAATTTCCCAATGAAAATTACTGAGAAATAAACAAGTAAGTTATAGACAGAAAACTCTTTTTGCTAAAAGGCAAACATTTTCAGATGCTTAGATTTGTTTTAACAAGAATCTAACTGATATGCTAAAAAAGTAAAGATAAAATTCCAAGGCAAATGAAAAAGTTCACATGGAATAGTTTTTTCCATAACAGTATAGGGGGGAGGGATAGCTCAGTGGTTTGAGCATTGGCCTGCTAAACCCAGGGTTGTGAGTTCAATCCTTGAGGGGGCCACTTGGGAATCTGGGGCAAAATCAGTACTTGGTCCTGCTAGTGAAGGCAGGGGGCTGGACTCGATGACCTTTCAAGGTCCCTTCCAGTTCTAGGAGATGGGATATTTCCATTATTATTATAGCACTCTACAAATAGAATAATACTGAATATACACCTTTAGTATACTCAAAATACTGAAAAGTGGAAATAGCATGCAATTTCTACTTGTCATTTGGACAAAACAGGACATTTTATAGAACAGAATGCTGAAGTTTAAAATGGTATCGATAATGGGAAAGAAATATCTGCCATATAGAGTCGGTCTCAAATCAGATCTGGAAGACCCAGATTCTTCAGAAATATGAGCTGACCTTACCACGATCTGAACTTCTCTTACCCTTCCAAGAAATGTAAGTAGAGTTCTGTGCAGGTTATTCTGTGGGTCTTTTGGATCAGACGAGCTTGATATTTTGTGCATGAACCAAAGTATTTTGTATCTATAATTCTACTGACTATATCTACAATTCTAGGGATTCTATACTTAGGTTACATTTAGTGTGTGACCAAATGGCAGAATGTATTGGTATAGCTGTGCCACTGTAGAACTATAAGTGTAGACATGGCCTTAGTTTTAAAAAAAAAATCCTTAGTTTTCTTAAGGGGCTATGTAGTCCAGTCCAGAACTCTCTTTGAATATGTCTATACTGCAATTGGGAGCATGCTTCCCAGCATGGGTAGATGAGCACAGCTAACCTGTGTCTAAGCTAGTGCATTAAAAATAGCTGTGTGGCCACAGCACAACAGGTGGCGGATTGGGCTACTCATCCAGGTACATACCCAGATAGTCGGCCCGAGCTACTACCTGTGCTGTTGTGGCTACGCTGCTAGTTTTAGCACAGTAGCTCAGGCAGAGCTAACCTATGCTGGGCAGCACACTCCCAGCTGGTCTGTATACATACTCCTAAAGAAAGTTCTGGACTAGGCTACAACTGGCAGAAAGTGCCATCTCTCACAGAATGGCAGAGGCTTTAACAATGACAAATAAGATGCAGACCATAGCTGAAGTTTGAGAACCACTTCTCTATTAGTTTCTGATCTATGCTATAGAACAGTTTGAGAATGTCCAGTTTCGAAAAATCTGTTAGACTTGGCTCTGAATGGAAAAGGGAAACAGCAGATGTTAGAAAGGACAGGACCTAGATGAACGGGGTGGGTTGGTCCTGTCAATGGGGAAGGAGGGGCTAGTCATTCCTCACTGGAGGGACTGGGGCCACATGATGGTCTTTGGACCACATGGACATCTTTACGGCTTTTTCCTGAAGCCACTTTGGATCTTAAGTGGATCTGCTTAGGGAGGCAGACAGTGGCAGAGGTGCTCTCTGGGTAGTTGGACAGGAACTCATCCATACTTGGTCTGGGGTAAAAGACGCAGATCTGAATAAATTAGTTCTGAGACAGACCTGGAGTGGAGGGGACTGTGGCGCCCTGAAAAGACCAAGGGATCTAGGTTCCCAATGGGAGCTCAGAAAGCTCTGGAAGGGAAGCAGTGCTAAAAGAGGGAAGGGAAAAGTCAATAGGAATAATTACCTGGAGCCTCTGGAAGAAAGGGGGTTGTCTGCATAGGTCCGAGACTTGCTACCTGTTAAAGGACTTTGGTATGGAGATGGAAGGTGTTCTCCGCCATACATTGTTTCTCTTCCCTCTAGCCCCCAAGGTTCTAAGGTTGGGTTTGATATCTACCCTTTGGCATCTACTGGAAGAGAAATTTTCAAAAGCCCAGTTCTTACTAAGACGATTGTGTAATGTCTTTAATTACCCCAAGGACTTCAGATTTCTGAAGACCTCTGTGGTTCATGATCTGCTCTACTCTTGGATTAAGATTTTTCCTTTAAGGACACTAGAAGTCAATGACAGAAGTTTAGTTGTTCTATTTGCCCATTTGCTTAGCATAAATCATGTGGAGGCTCAGAAATCTTGTCTAAACAAGATTACTAAATTGTACATTAGAAATAATTCATGTTAAACAATTTAAGAGTCATGTCAACAAAACAAGAGACAATTATGATCTAATGTGCTTTTATCTTTGCAGTAAACTGTAAAAAGAAGGGGGAAATAATTTTTTGCTTCCTTTCCCAATAAATCAAGTAAATGGATGCCAACTGCCCAGGAAACAGGCCCTTGAATGGAAATACATCTACCACACAGACTTGGTGCACTTCAACTCCATTAGCTGACTTTGCAAGGTTGGTCATAAACATATCTTCCCAATTGTCCTCAAACTGCTAAAAATCTCACCTGCAGAAAATTCATCTAGCATTAAATAGACTTCTCCTTCAGCAAGGCTTTTTCTTGCAGCAAATGAAGAGATAAGTAATTGTGGAAAGTGACCTCAATATACTTCCAATATTTGCAGCTTCAACTAGACTACAGCATTTTCCAGATGAAATAATCAGGCAGAAGTCTTAAAGATTCTGTTTTATCCAACTCTATTTTGCCCAGTGCTTTCAATTATTAAACAAAACAGATTTTATGTCCTTATATTTTTAAATTGCTTAGCAATGGCAAAAATAAGGTTCCACTAAGTTCAAACACTCACCATATAAAAATATGGTCTAGTGCTGAATAACTCAATTCATTAAAAATTCTATGCTATTTATTGTCAAACAGTAGACATCTGAAATAGACTAATCCTGAGAGATACAAACTGTTTCAATCATTAGAATTGTTGAGGCTAGTTGCATTTTCTTATTCTGCATAAAACAATTCAGTACAGTTTCTTGTACAGAAAAAGTTGGTAATATATAATAGATACCAATGGGGGGAGAGAACATTTCATAAGGGTAGTCTTCCTTTTGCCAACGCACAAACCATCCACAAATTTGAGTTATTATTGCAGGCACAAATCAGGTTAAGAGGCATGTGAACTCAGATTCAGGCCTGGTCTACACTACAAACTTAGGTTGACATAAGCCACATTAAGTCAATCTAATAACGTATGTGTCTACGCTACCGAGTCCCTTCTGCCGACCTAAGTGGCCTGTAAAGTCGACTTCTGTACTCCACCTCTGCGAGAGGTGTAGCACTTGATTCGACATCCACGAGTTGACATGACTGCGTTGTATAATTCGAATCAACTGGCCTCTAGGAGGTGTCCCACAGTGCTCCACTGTGACCGCTCTGGAGAATTTTCATTTCCTGTTTGACCAGTGTGGCGAGCTCACCAGCACAGCTGATCACGGAGACTCAAGGCTGCAAAAGCATTCCAGCATGGAGTACACAGGAGGTGGTGGATCTTATTGCTGTGTGGGGAGAAGAATCTGTGCATGTAGAACTCCGATCCAGCAGAAAAAATGCAGACATCTATGCCAAGATCGCATGGGGCATGGGAGAGAAGGGCTACACCAGGGACACGCAGCAGTGCCGTGTGAAAATAAAGGAGCTCCAGCAAGCGTACCAGAAAACAAGGGAGACAAACAGTCTTTCCGATTCTGTCCCACAGACATGCCCCTTTTATGAGGAGCTGCATATTAATCTTGGCAGCAACCCCACCACTACCCCAAAACACTCCACAGATACCTCCCAGGAGCCCCGGCGACCTCAAGCAACAACGAGGAGGACACTGTTAATGATGATGACTATAAGAATGTGAGGCAGGCAAGCAGAGGATCCATTCTCCCAACAGCCAAGAACTGTTTTTAACCCTGGAGCATATCCCCTCACAGGACCAGTTGGTGGCGGAGTGTCATGCTGGGGAAGGTACCTCTGGTGAGTACACATTTCCAATCAAACTGTAGCGGTTACATGCTATTATTTATGTTTAATCTGAATAAAAAAGTAGGTGAGGTGGGTATCGGTGGCCACTCCAGCTACACAGAAGGTGCTCTCTGAAAAACACTGCTTATGTGCACAGGGATGGCCTGGGAATCCTCCATGGAGATCTCTAGGAAGCTTTCATGGAGGTACTCTGCAATCCTTTGCAGAAGGTTTCTGGGAAGGGCTGCCTTATTTTGTCCACCATGTTAGGACACTTTCCCGCGCCACTCCAGTATTAACTCTGCTGGCATCATTGCAGCATAAGGACCAGGTCTGTACCCAGACGCTTGCAGCATCTGCTCCCTTGCTGCCTCTGTTACCCCCAGGAGAGTGATTTTGCATAAGGTTACCCATGGGATATGGGGGAAATTTTCAATGATAGCCCTTAAACCACAAACAATTCAAGCATGTAATCTGCCCTATTTGATTAAATCTGGGCCACACAATCACACTTTCCCACATGTGCCCTGGTTGTGGTTGGAAAGGCTGACCGTATATTGCAAACAGCATTGAAAAAAAGGGATGGGGGTGGTGTCTTCCTGTTTGTCTCCATTCCCCCTCAACCCAGTGCCGCTTTTATAAAAAACAAACTATTTAGGGGGGCATTACACTGGTGCCTGTCCTCAAGCACCATCCTGGTTGCTCGGGGAAGTGGGCTTTTCTCAAGTTCCAACCTGTGATCCCAACCATGTCTTCACAAAAGCAGCAGTGCAAGACCTCTCGCCCATGCTTCCACGGCCTTACTCACCATGACTGGAGCAGCAAACCGACTCTTACAATAGCCAGCAGTTGTGATTATGTTGTGGTTTGAAGTACATTGAGGGGTGTATTTTTAATAAAAAAAATTAACCTTGTGCCAGAAACAATGTATGAACTGTCAATGCTACCCTTGTGCTTTGCATTCCTTGCAGCTGAAACCTTGTCCATCAGTACATCCTCCACAAAGGGACAGAGACTTCCCCAGTTTAGAAGGCAGAAAAAGACGACTCAGGAGGACATGTTTAATGCGTGCCTCTGAGAGTGACAAGACGTAGCTCAGAGCATGGAGGATTACACTGAGAACCTGGACATGGACAGGGAGGACAGGAGAGCATGCAGGGAACAAGAGCATGCCATGCAGGAAGAGATGCTGTGGATTATGAAGGAGCAATCAGACATGTTGATTCGTCTGGTTGAGGTTCAAAAAAGGCAGCTGGATGCTAGATTCCCTCTGCTGCCATCATCGCGCAGTTCTACATTCTCCTCCTCCAAACGTTCTATGAGGCTTTCCTTGTGTCTGTCCCCCCCCACCCCACTACAATATTATCAGCCCTTTTGCCCCAGGTTAACTTACTATTCTTTGCTATCTCTGTGTGTTTGTGTGCATAAAAAAACTTAACGGATTGAAGAGAAAAGGTTCTTTATTCATTCAACAAATGGTGGTTGGTGGGGGTGGAGTTTACAAGGGAGAAAATGCACTGGAGGGAATAGTTTGGTAAGGAACAACACAGATAAGTGTCACATTACTCTGGCTCATTGCTGAAACTGGTTTTCAAAGCCTCACAGAGACGCAGAGCCCCTCTATGTGCTCTTCTTAATGCCCTGATTTCTGGCTGCTCAACATCATCTGCCAGGCGATCTGCCTCAACCCCCCCACCTGGCAGAATCTTTACTCCCTTTGTTTCACAGATATTATGGAGCACACAGCCAGCAGCAACAACAATGGGAATATTGCTTTCACTGAGGTCTAACCTAGTAATCAAACAACTCCAGAGACCTTTTAAATGTCCAAAGGCACATTCAACCACCATTCTGCACTTGCTCGGCCTATGGTTGAACGGGTCCTTACTGCAGTCCAGGCTGTGTACAGCTTCATGAACCATGGAAGCAAGGAGTAGGCTGGGTCTCCCAGGGTCACGATTGGCATTTCAACATCACCAATGGCAATTTTGCAGTTTGGAAAGAAAGTCCCTGCTTGCAGTTTTCTGAATAGACCTGTGTTCCTAAAGAAGCACACGTCCCGTCCTGTACCTTCCCCACCATCCAACGTTGATGTCAGTGAAACAGCCCGTGATCCACCAGCACTTGCAACACTATTGAGAAGTACCCCTTTCAGTTTATGTACTCTTTGGCAAGGTGATCTGATCCCACGATAGGGATATGCGTTCGGTCTACACGGCAAAACATTCACTATGTCCTGCACATTGCCCAGAGTCATTACCCTTCTTAGCAGAAGTCTGTTGATGGCCCTGCAAACTTGGATCAGAACAAATCCCACGGTAGGTTTACCCACTCCAAATAGATACCCCCTCACCCCCGCCACTGACCAGTAGCAGTCTGGCGTTGCAAGCTTCCACAGAGATATTGCCACTCACTTCTCCACTGTCAGAGCAGCACTCATTTTAGTATTGCTGCACTTCAGAGCTGGGGAAAGCTCTCCACACTGCACAGTTCCTGGAAAGTGGCCTTACACATTCGAAAGTTCTGCAGCCACTGCTCAGCATCCCATAGCTGCATAATAATGCTGTCCCACCAGTCAGTGTTTGTTTCACTGTTTCAAGATGACGTGTGACTGTTGCCAGCAACTGCGAATTGCTCCACTATGTCTTCCAGCAGGGCTGCTTGTGTGGCATCACATGGTTGTGCGCAGCAGCTCCTGTGTCAGCTGTGTAAATAGTGCAGGATAAGGCGCGAGGTGTTTGTAATGCTCACAGAAAGTGTACAGTTGAGCGGGGTCCATGCTTATTGTGCTATGGTGTCCACACGTGTAACCCAGGCTTATGAAAAAAGGGGCGAAAAAGACTTGGGTTGTTTGCTGTTGATTTCAGGGAGGGAGGAAGGTAAGTGCATCATCGGAGACTAACACCATCTTCCTATAACCATCTGCAACAATGTTTTGGTCCCAGAAAGCATTGCAAGCCCAACCCAAAATTCCACTCGGCTACATGCACTGTGGGATAGCTACCCACAGTGCAGTGCTTCGTGCATCAATGCAAGCCCTACTAGTGAGGACGCACTCTGCTGACACAATGATCGTAGTGTGGACACGCAAGACTGACTTGCTTAAATCGGAGGCTTGATGTCAACGTACATGAAGTCGACTTAACTTTGTAGTGTAGACATGGCCTTAAACCTAGCATTAGTTTTGAAAACAAAGAAGGCCCACAAATATGGAGGCTAGGACTTTGCCCATGTGAAAATTTATACCATGGTTTCTAAACTTAAGAGTGAGCCAGAACATACCATCTGTTAACATTTAGAAATTATGCAAGTGTAGTACAGATATGTAAAATTATTAATATCCACAAAATTTTAAGTAACTGGTCTATAAATATCAGTTCCTTTTACATACTAGTTTTCAACCGTATACAATTCTGCTTTCTTCAAACTTTTTGACATTCAAGTTACTATCCTCTTGGGTTTCAAACTCAAAGTTTGACACACTGAAGTATGAAAGTAATCAAATTATTCAGTTCGGTGCTTTCTGATGCCTTTACACTGAAGTCCTTTCCTTGCTAATTATAGATCTGTTTTAAATGTATGCCTACAAAGACTTCATCTTCCAACTGTCTCAACATACCTTTCACCAATTTACCATCGCTGATAGTTTTACTGACAGGTGAATCCTTCTTAATTCCTGGAGCACCCATCTCAGATGCATCTTCAGAAGTGTGATCATCCAGAAACTGAGTTTCACCCTGTGTGTCAGAAGCAGTATCTGCTGGAACATCTTCTGATAAAGATACACCCTTTTCAAAGAGAAATTCAAAATGTTAATGACCACAGCTAATTGTTGAAAATAATAATGTCTGACATGCAATCCATTCACAATATACAGCGTAAAGTTGACTATCCAAATGGCTTCGCCCTCTTATACAACATTTGAAAGACAAGTTCAGTGTTTTCTAGAAAATGACAAGAAAGTGGTAAGAGGAACAGAATATATTCCTTTGTTTGTCCTTATGTACAGCTTTCATGACTCCAGCATCTTTCCTATGGGTAAGGACACATGCAGCTACTTTTATTATCATTGCTTTATTTCCTTCTTTGAAAGATCTATTAAAATTAACTATTTTATCTTAGTCTTCTTCCTCAAGCCACTCCCACCCTATTAACTAACCCACACAGGAAAAGCCTAAGAAATCAAGTGCTCCGAAGACCAACAAACCTGAGCACTGTTTAAAGAGGCAGAGGAGTGCAAGTTCTAGCACATCCATCACTGAAAATGCTCTACCACAAGTTGTCTCCACCATCAAACTGGGGAGATACTTAGGTCAAGCACCATAGCTGATCACAAATGTCAGTCTCACCTAAGGAAAGGAGCAGTATTAAGGACTCTTGGAATTTAGGAGTCTATAAGTCAGAACAAACAACTTAATCGTTCATTTGGTTTCTAGGGGTGAGTCAATTAACACCACTGAAATGTCACAGTTCACTTCGTTAAAGAGTATATGCAAGTTGTTTCTTCTATGTCAGCTCCGTGAAATATACTGGCCTCCATTGACTGAAACTAAGGCCTGGTCTACACTAGGCGTTTATGTCGAAGTTAGCGCCGTTAAATCGAATTAACCCTGCACCCGTCCACACTGCGATGCTATTTAGTTCGACATAGAGGTCTCTTTAATTCGACTTCTGTACTCCTCCCCGACGAGGGGAGTAGCGCCAAATTCGACATGGCCATGTCGAATTAGGCTAGGTGTGGATGGAAATCGACGCTAATAGCTCCGGGAGCTATCCCACAGTGCACCACTCTGTTGACGCTCTGGACAGCAGTGCAAGCTCCTATGTTTCTTGCAGTCATGAGATTTAGCCCCCTGGAAAACTTCAATGAATTTTCCTTTTCCTGTCTTGCC